TTTCCATATATACCACTACCTTTGTCATCTCTCATCATCTCAAAATAATTCTATATAATTTTGATCAGATCAAAATTTAGTACATATTCTTAGTAAGTGCAATGCACAGAGGAACCATGTAAGAAACATGGTTAGTATTTATTTCCTGCACACATTCCTTGTTGATGGTTGTGTTATATTCCTAAATAATTATTTTATTTTATTACTTTCTCAGATATGTACAATAGTTGATTCTGAACTCTGGCAATTGTCTAATCTTTTTTTTTTTTGATATTGAGATGCATCAGGAATTCCACAGATTTCATCTTCCTAAGATAAATTTCTCTAATGTCTTCTGACCTTCTCCAGATATCCCTTTGTGCCTGGTGAACCTTTCACCAACATTCTGAGAATTCCATTGCCTTTAGTCTTGCCACCACATTTCCATAAAATGTCAGGTTTCTTGCATATTATAATTTCTGCCTCATTTTAGGCATTTACTTTGGTTAAGTTCTTTAGAAGTTAAGTTCTTTAGAAAGCAGGTTTGGGAAGGATTTATTTTTAAAAATGTGTATTTGAAATACAATAATGCCTCTGTAAGTTGACCACCCAATTTGATAGTAACAAAGTGGTCAACCTACAGAGGCGGTCAACATGAGGAAGCAGGCCTTCCTATCAGTAGGTACTGATAAGGACATGTGTGTGTGTCTGCTTTATGAAAACTAGGCCGACTTAAGGAGGCAGTCAATGTAGGGAGGTGGTTGACTATGAAGGTTCTACTGGATTATTTATTCTACTCCTACACAAGTTAGATAGCTTTAGCTGTGCATAAAATTGGAGTGTTCATTTCAAAGTTATTTTAGTTAACTTGCCAAGTTATTTAAAGCATCATAGTAAAACAGTTTTAGAACATTTCTTTTACCCCATTGAGTTCCATCATATCCTTTAACTATTAACCTCCATTCTCCTGACCTCTCCCTGCTTCAGGCAATCACTAATCTACTTTCTATCTGTACACATTTGCCTTTTATGGCATTTCACATAAGTGGAATCATTCAATATGTAGTCTTTTGTGTCTGTCCTTTTTCATTTAACATGTTGTTGAGCTTCATCCAAGTTGCAGCACATATAAATAGTTTGTTTCTGTTACTATCATTCCGTTCATGGATTTATCACATTTAGTTTAACTGTTTAGCTATTAAAGGGCATTAGTTTGTTTCTAATGTCAAATAATTTTCAGCAATTATTCATTATGGTGCTAAGAAAATTTGTGTCCAAATCATTGTGTGTCTGTATAATCACTTCTCTTGGGTAAATATGTAGGAATAGAGTTTTTATTTTAAATTCTTAAAAATTTTCTTCTAACTCAACAGGCTGTCTTTTCTACAAGGTTTTCTTTTTTCCCCTCTTTATTTCATATTAAAAGATTTTCTGATATACTATGCAATTTTTATTTGTCTTCTCTTATTTAAGAGAATAATGAATTGATTGAAAGCACTTGGTGAGATTCTTTTTACTACTGAGTTTCATGACAATCTGGCTAAATTACTTACCTACAGCAGTGATTTTCAACTGGTGTGCTGTGAGAGGATTTTAGGTGTGCCACAAAAAATTTTAGAGATCATTAATTAAATTATTTATGAAAGAAGTTCAACTTATAATAAGTACATTCGGTTTTTACTTTTTAATTTTGAACAACATAATTTAACTGTGCCATGTAAGTTTAACTATCAGTTCAAGTGTGCTGTGAGATAAAAGGGTTGAAAAACACTGACCTAGACAATTTCCCACATCTGTAATTTTAGGTCCTTCCACTTAACTTGGTCAGATTCCCTAGGGAGGACCTTTCCAACCTGTTACTTAAGTATAAATCATGTGAAATACATAGTTTTACTTAGCACTGGGAATCCTGTGCCGTACTCCTAGGCCTCAGCCCTGTCCAGTGCCCCCCAGCCCACTAACAGCTCCATGGAATAAACCTTCAGTATTTGTTGCTGGGGGGTGAAAGACAGTAGTCCAAGTTTTTGAACCATCAGACAGAATAGGGATCTGTCTGATCTAAGCAGAAATAGAGACTCTCCAATTTTAATCATTAAATAAACTTTCACCCTCTTAAAATCTAGTGTCTTCCTTGAATTCAAGTAAGATAAAAATTTGCATTTCAACCAATGAAGAGTTACTTGGATGTCAAAAATTTATTTTTTTAGACCATCTAACATTTGAGAGAAATGGTAAACTGTCTAAGACATCTTTCATTTCATTAGATCCACTAAACTCTTAGTCAGAAAAAAGTAATATTTCTTCCTATACACAAAATTCAATATCTTTACTGAGTTAAGATTTAATTGATAACCCCCTCTGTTTTTTTTTTTTTTAATAGAAGATTAACCCAAGGGAGGTCCGCTTTAATGGTACCTTTGCATCTTGCAAAACAGTGATTGAAGGTACATACTATTCATCATCTTATCTAAAATTTCTAAATTAAAGCAGCCCAGAACAAATTCAATCTTTTAACAATTGATCCAGAAAAACAAATATTTAGAAGTTGAAACTTATTCTTTCATATTTCAGGCTACAATTACATAAATCAACATAGTTCCATTTGCCTTATTTGCAACAAAAAATAAATATAAAGTCAGGCTCAACTGTAGCACTAAGCATATGTTAGATGTAGAGAAGTATTGATTTCTCTGACTCTGTTTAATGTATTTTGTTGTTGATAGTGCTTGATTTCCCTATTTTTAATCTTTACTTGTTTTCTCAATTCTTTTTACAATAGGCATAACATAAAATGTAAATAAAAATAGGTATGCCAAAAGATGAATTGAATTCAACACAGGAAAATAGGAAGTACTACCATTATTTAACTCATTTTCTTTTTATCTTCTCAATGATAGGTATTTTTTATACAAGCTAGAAGTTTGCAGTTTCATAAGCATTTTGCTGAAGTGATCTTTACTTGTGATGGGTAGAGTTGACCAAAATGTAGTTAAGTGCCCCTTGATGACCATACAAATACTCAGTTATCCTTTCCCTACCTACATGAAAAACAGCATACAACAACGCTTTTCAGTAACACAGAATGACCTACATGGATGTGCACTTGACCAAGGGAGAAGTTGATACATTGAAATTTACACCAAGTATATATTTGAGAGAAAAGTATGACCATACTCATGCTGTATGAAAATCTTCTTTATACTTACCAAAGACAAAAGAAAGCAATAGAGCTTGTATAGACTGAATATTTGTTTCCCCTCTGCCCAAAATTCACATGTGGAAACCTAATCCTCAATGTGATGTTATTTGGAAGTGGGGCTTCTGAAAGGTGATTAGGTCACAAAGGTTCCTTATAAAATAGGTCTCAGAGAGACTCCCTGTCCTTTCCCCCATGAGAGGATACAGTGAGAAGATGGCCATCAAGAACTAGGGAGCTCGCCTCACCAAACACCTCATAGGCTCATGCCTTAAATGTTGTCTTTCTAGCCTCCAGAACTGTGCCAAATTTATGTTGTTTATAAGCCACCCAATCTATGGTATTTTTAACAGTAGCCCAAACAGATTACTATAATGCTTGATTGCTTGGGTGTGAAAACACTTGGTCTCCTCTTAACTTTCAATTAAAGAATTTGGGGTAGTGCCTGTGGCTCAGAGGTGTAGGGTGCTGGTGGGTTCAAACCAGGCCCAGGACAAAAACTGCAAACAACAACAACAACAACAACAACAACAACAACAACAAAACCTTTTTGGATCTAGTAGTCTTAAATTTTCAGTCATATGTAACATGTAACTCTCTGGACTGTTTCTCCATTAGTTGTTCTTAATTTTCTCTGATTTGGTCTCACTTTCTGTGTTGTGAACCATAGGGACTACAGCCAAAGAAAAACTTGAACTCAGCAGAAGAGATGGCAGCACAGCTTCATTTAACAACACCCTTGATGGTACAGTAAAACCATCAGCAACATCTCAGAAAAGCTGAACTAACTGCTGCTGGCTACTTCTGTAAGTGTCACATTATAAATTTTAACAACACAAGAAAACTAAAAATCTACTATGTTGTTCTTCTGTTTTTTTTATAAACTTTTTTTTTTTATGCATAGATCTGTTGATTTAATTATGAGTGGTTTAAAGGTAATATAGACCACTGAAATACATATGACTGCTCTGAACCTCATAGTTCAGGTGATTTTACAGGAGATCACAAAAAAGAAATAGCTATCAAAAATTTCTTTAGAATTTATAATAACAAAGGTGGTGGAAGAAGAAAAATTTTTTAAGAATATAATCAAAATTTATATTAAATAAGTTGATCGATATTGATAGGATAGTGCATTTATCTAAAATCTTCATTTCATAAAAAAAGTCTGACTTAAAAAGTAGTGTTTTGCTAAGCATGTAAAAACTACTTAGAAGCACATCAAGTGACCAATTCAAAATCCGAGTATGTTTTCACCTGTATGCAGTCATCAGGAATCATCCTTCCATGTTCATGGGTGCTAGTTGGGTGTTACATTTACTGAGCTCTCCTCTGGGGAAGTCTGGCACTACTCCCAGAGTTGTCTTTTGACTTTAACTGGTCTTCAATCTAGAGATTGAGAAATCCTAATTCAATACCTACTGATATCTCTTTGTTTTGCCTCCTTCCAAATGCTAATGTATAAAGTTGGAGGATATATTAGAAATCTAGGTTGTATGCCCTGAGGACTTTTCTTATGTATTTAAAATTAATTTGCTTTCTGACAATCTTCTAGACATGTATAATCCTTATTCTGCAAAAAGAATCTAGAGTACAACATCCATAAACTAAGCCTCTGAGCCAATAAGATTTTGTGAAATTCTGATGTAGTTTTCTAAAATAAATTAGTTGAAAAGATTTTTGTTTCTGAAATTCAATACTATGTATTCAGATAATATTCTTCTTCACTTTCTAAGGTATTTTTTAGAAATCAGTTTCCAAGTTTATGAATGCTCATATTCAACAGATTAAACATCAAAACAGGAATGCTTTGATATTTCCAAACCTCTGATGTAGTGAGTTTCTGAGACTCAGTCCTATAGATTCCAATGGGAACATCTCCAGTAGAAGAACACAACTTCTGGTAAAGTCTGGCATAAGTTCTGATCCATAAGTCATCCTCAGTGATTTTCATCTATAATACATATCAATTATTTACATATTAGGTGTTTAAAAATTAAAAATCTGGTGGTTATTTTTTTTTCTTAATGGCTGAATTTATTAATATCTCAAAGGAATATTTCACAAATGCTTACTCATGTATTAAATATATTTATTTTACTTCAACTTATCTCACCCAAACTTAAAAAATCTAAGTACTCAGTTTAAAGCAGTATGCTGTTACAATAGTAGTTATAGGCCTCAGAGCACTGGTAATCGAACTGGAGAAATAAGTCACATGGAGATATTTTTGTAATAATTGGAGTCTGCCACTGGTGTTTAGTGGACACGGTCTGCCAATGCTATGGAATGTAAAATGCAAAAGACATTACAGTGCAAAAGTACTTCTTGAACCCTGTGCTCTATTAACATCCACATTGCAAAGATGTGTGGTAGAAAAAGCTTAGGGCTAATAGGCAGGAAACAAGAGTTCTAGTGCCTCTTTGCTACTTGTAAATCTGAATGGCTAGCAAGCTAGCAAATGGACATAGTTACAGTCATCTATTAAACAAACTGGTGAAACTGCATGATGATAATTTTCCCAGACAGTATGGAACCCTACATCAAAACCTGTCAGTCTCAAATTGTCAGTTAGGAAAACAAATAAACAAACAAGTCAACTTGTTCTGAATTTTATATGGAATAGCTATTATGATTGTTAATTAAAATAAATATATTTTCCATGAAAGTTTTAAGGAATTTAAAAACTCTATGCAATTCTTTGAACATACATCAGATAAAATAATATAGGACATGGAAGAGTCAGCCAAAATACATGGTAGATGAATTTTAAAACCTTCTATCAGAACAATCTTGTGTTTTAGAGATTTACTTACAGAACAAAGAAACCCTGATCCTGGAGTAGTGTCCAGTCCCAACAGAAGTCTAGTGATGGAAATCATATAATCCTTCACAAATGACTACAATATAAACAAAATAAGTATTTATTAGATGTCTGAGATGTACTGAATAGCTAAGAATGTGAACAGCTAACCACTTCCAAAAGATTACCTCTCATAACACATCATTAAGCCTCCATTAGAAAAAAAAAACCAAGTCTATCTTATCCCTGTCCTAAATAAACACAACTGGTTATGCTGTTCATAAAGAAATATCAGAAGTAATTATTATTTTGATATGCTTACATATGTGCAATGAGGCATGATGCAAACATTTTTATTTTATTTATTTATTTATTTTTGAGACAGAGTCTCAATCTGTTGCCCTGGCTAGAGTGCTATAGCATCATCATAGCTCACAGCAACTCAAACTCCTAGGGTCAGACATCTCCCTGCCTCAGCGTCTCAAGTAGCTCGAATTACAGGCACCTGCCACTACACATATTTAGTTTTTCTGTTTGGAATAGAGCGGGTCTCATTTTCGCTCAGGCTGGCCTGGAACTCCTTAGCTCAGGGTATTCACTCACCTTGGCCTCCCAAAGTGCTTGGATTATAGGCTTGAGCCACCACATCATCCCCATTTTTAAATTTTTAAAAACAAAAAATTATAAACAAAATGTGAATACTTAAAACACTATTAAGATTTAAATCTATTTGCAATGAAAAATTTCAATCTATATTTTAGGACTATGCTATATGTTAGCAAAATTAGTTTCTAAACTGTAATTCTCATTTATTATTGCTTATATTATATTATTGCTTATATTCTCTTTCCACACCATTCCATGCTAAAAGAGGGTGTGGTGGTTGTTGTTTTTAATTTGAAATCTTGCATTTCCCTCAGGTGATAGTGCATCTCTTACGTTGGAAAGTTTGAAATGCAGAACAGTCTTTTGAGACACATAGACCATTTTCTTAGTAAGAGATTAAAGAAAGTGTCCTTGAAAATCATGCCCAATACTTCAAAAACTATTAACAATCTATCAAAAGTCCTAATGAAGAGAAATTACTTTCTAGATTTTACGAATTCTGTAGTTAAGTCCTTTTCACAAAGTAGAGTTATGGGTTATGGACAGCAATTTTTTTTTTTTTCCTGAGCCAGAGTCTCACTATGTTGCCCTGGATAGAGTGCCCTGGCATCACAGCTTACAGCAACCTCAAACTCCTGGGCTTAAGTGATTCTCTTGCCTCAGCTTTCTAGTAGCTGGGACTACAGGTGCCCGCCACAACGCCCGCCCATTTTTTATTGCCTTTCTATCTGGGCCAAGAACCTGCCAGCCGCAGTGTACATGGCTGGCACCGTAACCACTGTGCTACAGGCGTTGAGCCTGGACAGCCAATTTTTAAATGAAACAGTGTGTCTTTCAATAAGATAGAAAATAATATAGCCGATTATAAGCAGAAATGTTATGTGTTGAACTGTAAGTTTCATGTTTCAGTTATACATACACACATGTAGGTATTGGATGGAAATACTTGATGTAATGTTTACTCTTACATTTAAGACTTTAAAACCTATAGTTCTAGTTCAGTTTACTCTTTTAGCACAAGCTTCAACCAATTTCTCTTTTCTATTTAGAACATAAAATATGAGGCAAAGTGAAGAGAAAGAAAAATATCATTTTCCACCTCCACAAAATAGCTTTCCTCTATTTAACTTACACATTAGCCTTTTTTTTTTTTTACAAGATTCTATTTAAACATAGAATAGGGTGATTAAAAAAAGCCATTGGTGTATAATAAAGCCCAAGCATTTGGTTCCTATTGATATAAAATCTTCAGTTTTAACGGTATTCTACAAACAAAATCTCCCTTCCAATCTGATCTCTTAAAGAGGTTAGAAGTATGTGTGTGTGGTCATGGTGTTTGCAGGGCAAGGTCTGAATCCTGGAGTACCCAGATAATATGTGTGGAGACTTTATGAAAATAGGAGTATTTACGTTCCTTTGTTGTGTTTGCTCAGTCATCCATCTGACATAAGCAGATGGTTCTTGGCTTTGCTTCAGGCACACTTGTGGGCAAAATTAGCCCAAAGTTCAACAGAAAAGCTTTTACTATCTTTGGATTAGTTTGTTCAGTTAAGCAAACATAGGATATAAATAAACAATCCCCCCAAAATAGGCATAACAAAATGCTTAAGTGCTTAATTGGAAATGAACATTATCAATTAATTTAAGGCCCTATGAATATCTTTTTTTTTCCTTTTAATGGAATCTTTAGAGAGTATATGATTACTGGAATCAGAGCATGTGAAATATTACCAAAATATTACTCAGTTTTTGGCAGAGACAAAAAGTATTATAATATATGTGGGAAAGAACATATCCATAAAACTTTTAGCTATAGTAAATTGAAAAGGTTAACTTAGCATTCAAGAAAAGATTAAATGGTTCTTAGTTGTTGTAAAATCACTTTTATAATTTTCTAAAGAAGATAATAATTGGTAGATGCTTAAATTGCCCTTGGTTTATCATTTCACCAACATCAATCTGATGTTTTATTTCAAATCTACAAAAAAGATTGTGTACTATGAGGAATGCTCTTTTTTTTCAACTTAGTAATTTTTTCTTATCTCTTTTTTTATTCCATAATATTCTTAAGATAAAGTGTATTAAAACATCATCATAAATATTGTGGGAACTGACAAAAGAAAGCCTAAAAAAATTTCCATGGTTTACTTTTTAAAATGATGTTTTTTTACAGAATTTTTCATAGGAGCATTTATGTCATTAAATACATGAAACAAAATATTTAATTACTTATAGAGAGAATTTTAAGTTAACAGATCCATGAGAAATACTAGATGTATTATTTCTTAAATAAAATTCAAACATAAAGTAACCATTTTAGAGAACTAGCAATATTAGCATACCTGATAGAGTAGAGTATCCAACATGCTGATGCTGAACACCCTCCCGGCAGCAAAAGGCAGTCGAAACATAAAGGCCAAATTAGAACCTCTCTCCCGTTCTTTCTGTTCAAAAATTTGAAGATAGAAAAGTCTATGAGGATTCTATATTTTATGCATTTCTGCCTAGGTAAATTGTGTTGACCTATGTGAAATAAAGTACTCTCATTGTGGGGGTAAGTGATGACAAGCACAGATAGAGACCCAGGGGAGCAAAGGACACTGGCAGATTTCAGCACATATGGGGAGACAGGATATATCAAACATTAATAATCATTAGGAGGAGTATTGAGAAAAACCATGATTTTCTATATGTAATTAAAGCATGAGTCCAACACTGGCCTTCCTCTATTTTCTCATTGTATAACCATCTAGTCTTTGGCTTTACATATTTAATCTCAGTCCTCAAAACTCATGTTAGTTTTCACATCTTTCCCAAACTTCACTTACAAGTAGCCATCTGAATACTGCTCTATAAATTTAACCTCATGTTTCACCAAAAAAAATTGGCCATCATGCTGACTAATCTTCTAACTAGTAACTAATCAGTGTCTACACTTACTAGCTAGTCCATCAGAGCATCTCTGATTCCATTCCTTCCTAGTCCATCCCCCAAATTTCCAAAGTCTATCACTAATACATACAATTACCTTACAATTCTCTCTTCTGCATCCTGTTGCTATAACACTTTGCAGGGCTTAAATCTACTAATTTTATAACTTCAAGTCTTTTTCACTCCAAATCATCCTACATGGTCCTGCCAATTAATCTTACTAGCAATTCTGGTAACATCATTTTCTGTTCATAAACCTAAGCTCAGTTTACCCTATGATCAGATTTTCCTAGACATAGCTGGAGAACACAGAGGCAAGACTTCTAGGAAAAAGCAACATTTTTTTTATTTGTGAAAATAATTTGTCTTTTTAGCTTGTCTAAAAATATCTTGGCAAACAAACTTGAATCTATGACAAGCCCAGTATATCAAAGTGTGCCGTTTTTGGTGATAGTGGTTTCTTTCACTCAGATTACCCATGGTCAACAATTTTCTGATCGAGGAGATGGATTTCCCAAATCCAACCATTGCCCTCTAACTTTAATAAAGAAATAACATATATTTAAAATGTTTTCTTTTCTTATCCACCTACATGAGACATCAGTTCAATAACATTGCATAGCACACCTATTCTTCTAAACAAAAAATGAAAAACACTCTTTGGTTTAATAACATTGTCAATTCACACACTGTATTTTCAAATACTAAACTTTTTTTTACCTACTGTACTTACCCTGTAGGAAATTAAGTCTCTTCCTAGTTCCACACATTTGAATCCTATTTCTCAATACTATTTTAAATAGAAAAGCTAATTAACATTAGTTCTAATCACTTTAAAAAACTTAAAACACTGCCTAAACAAAATAGGTGTTGAGAACCTACATTCTGTAGGGCACCATCCTCAGTGCTACAGGATAGATTTCCTATATAGAACTAATAAATTCTGACTAGTTAACAGAATTATTTTCTTTTAAATATGGGCCCTCAGCAAATAAATAGATGTGCATACTTTCCTTGTCTGCAAGATCTCAGAAAAATGTGGGTGGTACCAATACAAAAATAGGCAAAAACATTACGGTGAGTAAATGTAATAATGATAGAGTGATAAGATTCTTGAGAAGGGCACCTAGCTTATTCTTTTGGTAAAAAAGCCAAGAGCTTAATTAGAAGTGACATCTAAATTGAGACTTAAAATTGAGTAGGAATTAGCCACTAATTTTTGGAAGAGTGAGTGATAAGTAGAAAGATATAAACAGAAGGCCCAGAACCTGGAAAAAAGTTTGAAAGAGTTTAAGAACTACAAACATTTCTGTTTGAATATGATAGTAGCATATACAGAGAGTAAATGGCTGGAGGGAGCAAGTAACCATGTACTAGGATTTCAGAGGAAAAAGGGGGCTAATTAAGAATTACACTGAAAAACAGTGGTATAAATTGAGAGCATTTCAGGAATAACAGGACCTATGGTCACCCTACTTTCAAACTATGTTAATTATGTTGAATTACTTTTTAAGGGAAATGGGGAAAAGGTGAAGTACTTTTAAGAGGAGGAGTTTTATGGTATGTTTACAATGTTCACGCTGATGGCAATGTGGAAAATGGACTGTGAACAGGTAGGGGGCATGGGAAAACTGGGCAAGACAAATGAGGTGTTTGTGCAGTAGTCCATGGAAAAGGTAAGGTAAATTTACTGTGAAGATAAATTCTACTGTGATACTTGCAAAAACATCTTATTTAAAACATATTTGGAAATTAAATTTTAGGAGGATATGATGATTGAAACTGGTAGTAGAGAGAAGATAACAATGATATCCAGGTCTCTGGCTAAATGGGCATATAATTGTAATACTTTTTATTATTTATTTATTTATGTGTGTATGTATTTATTTTGAGACAGAGTCTCACTCTGTCGCGCTTGGTAGAGTGCCATGGCATCACATCTCACAGCAACCTCCAACTCTGGGGCTTAAGCAATTCTCTTGCCTCAGCCTCCTGAGTAGCTGGGACTACAGGTGCCCGCCACAATACCTGGCTGTTTTTTTGTTGTTGTTGCAGTTGCCACTGCTATTTTAGCTGGCTGGGCCTGGGTTCAAACCTGCTACCCTCAGTATAAGGGGCCAGTGCCCTACCCACTGAACCACAAGTGCCACCCTGTAACACTTTTTATAAAATAGAATGTATGGAACAACATAAGATCACAAGTTGAGATTTGGACTTGAGTTTTTAATATCAGTGGAAAGGTCCACCTATTAAAAATCTGGATCTAACAAGCATACAACACATGAAGGTTTGGAGCTTGGATTTTGGAAACACAAGTTTAAGTTAACCATTGTCATTGTCTAGTTGTATGAGCTTATAAAAGTTATTTAAATTCCCTGATCCTGAGTTTTATCACCTGTGACATGGAAATCATATTCACATCTACACCTCACTATGATTACAACAAATACAGAAATAAAATAAAACATCTAACAATACTGTATATAGGAACTCTGTAATATACTGTTTTCTATTATAATTAAATCTTTGAATATGCTAAATTATGTAGCATTTAAAGAGCTTTGTATAGCTCTTTCTCTCTCAATGATGCCACTTTCCAAGTTTTTACTGATGGTCTGATGTTATCATTTTACCTCAAATATTCTCTCCCCAAAAGCCTTTCTTTATCACCTGATTTAAAATAGTCCTTCCCCAGCTACTCTTGAATATAACCTCACATTACTATCATAGGTCTTTTAAACTCTATAATATCTCCTTTATTTTTTTAAATTTATTAATTATCTGCCTCAGCTAGATCATAAATTAGGAAGGGCAGGTATCATTTTTTGCATTCTATTACTGTAAACAGTACCTGACACAATGCCTGGCACATGGTCAATGAAATTTCATTAAACAAATGAATAAATATATTCTACTTATAGTAGACACATGAAAAGAGACAATTTATTGCATAGTTTAAAGCCTTATCACTTTCATATGCAAAAAGCAAGAAAGAAACAATTTGAGGTCCACTCAATATCTCTCTCCTACTTGTTCTTTAATGGTGATCTGAAGATGTAAATGACTAATTTTTATGTTATGCAATGTCTTTTTACTACTGCACTTCTTTTGACTGTAACATTTTACAAGGTAAATAGATATTTATATTATTAATTCTAGTATAAACATATGCTATAATTCATTAAAACATGTATTTACTTTCTAGTAGAATTTTTCATTCAGTTGAAGTTTCTCTGATGATTTTGTGTTGTCCTTACAAGTACTTATATATAAAATAAGTAAACAAAATCCAAGACATTTAAGTCATCATCAATTTCAGACACTTTAATATGTTTGGTCTTGCCTTTTTTCCCCCCATTTGTTTTGCTATTACGAACATGTGCCTTTCTTGGAAGATAGAATTTGTTTCTGGCAGAAATTTTGTTTCCTTTAATCTGTATCCATCCAATACCATATGGAATGAAATGATAAAATTATTAGATTTAAAAGAACAATGTGGGAGGTTAAAAAATTGAGAGTTTTATTGGTACAAATTAATAATTTCTATGCCCTACTTTCTCAACCATAATTCTTTTACCTTCCTTCATTCTTCCCTCTGGACCAAATCACAATGTAATTCCCAAATCTAGTGGCTTTTTTCAGCATTCGTTCTACTTGATGTTTCCTACAGAGTCACTGTTCCCCTATCCATCTCCAGGCAGGTCCACCCACATGCAGATACTCCCACATTTGAGTACCTGGGGTGATGACATCATCTGTATTAAAGGGTTGCAGCATTAGGAAGGTTTAGAACCACTGGCCTAAATCCTAAAAACTCCTTCCTCATATTTTGGTTCTGCCCCATTGTGCATAATGCTACCATCTTATAGAATTCAATGTTTTCTAACACCAGCTCTCCATGTCCTCCTCCATCTTCTAAAATAGGTATCATGCTACCCACCCTTAGAAAGGCTTTCATATCAACCCAGTGGGGCTGCCCTTCTGTTTCAGTGGATAGTCTACATTTATGAATTACTGTTCTTTTATTATTAACTTTGCGTGAAGAGAAACAGAGTTTATGACACTAAATTCAAGGCACATTAGCTTTAAAGTTATGTAAAAAATAAAAATTTCAAGATTCCTTCCTGATAAGAATACATTACACAATTACTTTCTTTTTGGGGTTATAAATAAAGAAGAAGCTGGATTAATTTTATACATGGAACTTCATCTGTGCTGATTTTTAATATGGAAAAATAAGAATTGAGATGATTAACACTTAGCCTTAACCATCCACTTTGATCTTTGTGACACTATCATTTACCTACCTTTCTGTGTCTCTAGAAAACATGTGGGTGGAAGTAAATAATTGGCAGCAATTAGTCTAAATCTGAACCAGAGAAGAGTTGCATTTGAGGTGTGTAAATTTAACAAAGTCCAATAAGTTTCTAACATTTAATAGTTAATATAAAAATCTAAACTTCTGGCATTTTAAATTCAGAAAATCTGATATTTTTATGGCAGTAACTGGACA